CCAATGGACCAGAAACTGTACCCGACCGCGGACCAACCGAGAATCCAAGATGCGGCTCACCTCATACTCCTCATGGCCGTCGACCCTGATAGGACGAGGCCGAGGCGGAGAGGCAGTAAAGCGATTACAGATCAGAGGTTTCAACAGGGATACATGGAAGACATTGGAGATGTGCATCCCAGGAGGAAGAGCAAGGGCATAGGCAACCGGGTTCACCCTGCGAAGAATGCGGAAAGGACCAACAAAACGGGGGGGGCCAGCTTTGGTGCAGGCACCCGAAGCTTGAGGTTACGAGTGGACAACCACACCCGATCTCCAACCTGGTATGAGGGAGCGGGCAATCGTCTACGATCAGCCTGGAGCTTCTGGCGCTGTGCTGAGTCCTTCAAGGACCTCTGAATCTGCCCCCATGAGGAGCGCAGAGCAGCCAGGTGGTTATCCACAGCCGGAATGTCCTGTGGAGAGAACAACTCAGGCAATACAGCGGGTTGGAACCCATAGTTGGCCATGAAGGGGGACATCCCAGAGGAGGAGTTGACAGCCGAGTTCTTCGCAAACTCTGCCCATGGCAGGAGATCGACCCAGTTGTCCTGATGATCCGATATATAGCAACGAAGGAATTGTTCCAGGGCCTGGTTGGAACGCTCCGCAGCCCCATTGGACTGAGGGTGGTAGGCCGAAGAGAAGGAAAGCTCGATACCCAACTGGGAGCAGAAGGCGCGCCAGAACCTGGACACAAACTGGCTCCCACGGTCCGAGACAATCACCTTGGGCAACCCGTGCAAGCGAAAGATCTCCTTTGCGAAAACCGTAGCCAGTTCTTGTGCAGTCGGCAATTTCTTGAACGGAACGCAATTGCACATCTTAGAAAAACGATCGATCACCATAAGAATGACCGTATGACCTTGAGACGCAGGAAGATCCACAATAAAATCCATGCCCAGGTGTGACCAGGGATGCTCCCCATTGGGAATGGGTTGCAGAAGGCCCAATGGAAGGTGCCGAGGAGATTTATTCTGGGCACAGACCGAACAAGCTGCTACATATGAGGCGATGTCAGAACGGAGAGATGGCCACCAGAATAACCGAGAAACGACCCAGGACAATTGCTTCCTACCAGGATGACCGGCAGTCTTGGAATTATGGTAGGTACGTAGCAAGCGGGTACGCAATCCCTCAGGTACAAAACATCTTCCAGCCGGTCTCTCAGGGGGAGCGTTAGTTTGAGCCGCCAGAATCTGCTCCCCAGGGGAGAAGTCAGGTTGGTACGAATGGCAGCCAGGATCTGGTTTGGAGGAATGACCGAGGTCGGCTCAGTGTCCTCCCTGGACAGCTCAGAGTATTGCCGCGACAAGGCATCGGCCCTGACATTCTGGAACCAGGCAAGTAAGAGACCACATAGTTAAAACGTGACAAAAACAGAGCCCACCTGGCCTGACGGGGGTGTCAACCTCTTAGCCTCCGAGAGATATGTGAGGTTCTTGTGGTCAGTGAGAACTAGGACCGGGACCACAGAACCCTCAAGCAGGTGCCTCCATTCCTTGAGAGCCAGAATAATGGCCAACAACTCCCTGTCTCCAATCTGGTAGTTGCACTCTGCAGAGGAAAGCTTCTTGGAGTAGAACCCACAAGGAAGTAGGGGTCCCTCGGGTGACCGACGCTGGGACAAGAGGGCGCCTACTCCTGTCTCAGATGCATCAACCTTGAGAACAAAAGGCAACCCAGGATTGGGATGAGACAGAATTGGGGCCGAAGTGAAGGCGGCTTTCAGAGCCTTGAAAGCTGAGATGGCCTCGGGGTGACCACTCGTGAGGGTTACTGCCCTTCTTGGTCAGGTCTGAGAGAGGCTTGGACAGTGTGGAAAAGTTCCTGATAAACTTCCGATAATAGTTGGCAAATCCCAAAAAGCGCTGAATGGACCGAAGACCACTGGGACGAGGCCACTGCAGAACCGCTGAAACCTTCTCAGGGTCCATAGAAAAACCCACCAGGGAAATGATGTAGCCCAAAAAGGCAACCTGGGATTGGTGAAATTCACACTTCTCGAGCTTACAGAAAAGCTCGTTTTCACGTAACCGCTGCAGCACCCGCTTAACATCCTGGATATGAGTCTCCATAGACGCAGAGTAAACCAGGATGTCGTCCAAGTAAACCACCACGCACTGCTGTAACAAGTCATTGTAAGACATCGTTAATAAACTCCTGAAAGACCGCGGGTGCGTTACACAACCCGAAGGGCATAACCAGGTATTCATAGTGGCCGGTTCTGGTGTTGAACGCGGTCTTCCACTCGTCGCCCTCCTTGATCCGTACGAGGTTGTAGGCAGCCCTAAGGTCGAGTTTAGTAAAGACCGTTGCTCCCTTGAGGCGGTCAAACAACTCGGTGATCAACGGAATAGGATAAGCATTTTAAATCGTGATCCGATTGAGACCCCTAAAATCAATGCAGGGTCTCAGCTCACCTCCCTTCTTTTTCACGAAAAAAAACCCAGCTCCTGCTGGAGACGTAGACTTGCGAATGTGCCCCCGGGAAAGCGCATCCGCAACGTATTCCTCCATGGCCTGATTCTCTGCCACCAAAAGAGGAAACACCCTGCCACGCGGAGGAGTGGCACCAGTTTGTAAGGTTATGGCACAATCGTATGGACGATGAGGAGGCAGAGCACCGGCGCGCACCTTGTCAAACACGTCCAGGTACTCCCCATATTCAGTGGGCAGCACAGAGTCAGAGGAGGTGCACAGCACCTTAATCGGACCACGGATGCAACCAGCCCCACACCGTGGTGACCACGAGAGAATCTCGGCCGATCGCCAATCAAAGGTCGGATTGTGCCTCTGAAGCCACGGATAGCCCAAAACCACGGAGTAGTGCGGGGAAGAAATTACCTGGAAACAGGCCAATTCCCTGTGAACAGCCCCAATAGCTACCTCCACCGGCAGGGTCTCGTGGGTAACCTGCGACGGCTGCAAGGGCCTGCCATCTATCGCCTCGAAAACCAATGGAGTCTCTCGAGCCTGCAGAGGAATGGAGTACTGGGCAGCAAACGAACTGTCCATAAACAAACCGCCAGCCCCAAAGTCTACCAACGCCTGGGCCGTCACCGAGCCTCCTGCCCAAGAGAGGACAACGGTGATAAGCGGTTTATCTTTACGGGAAACCGGAGACGAGGAAACTCCACCCAAGATCTGCCCCCGACAGGATCTCGGGTGCGGGCGTTTCCCGGACGGACCGGACAGGACTGCCAAAAATGCCCCCCGAGTCCACAGTACAGGCAGCGACCCTCCCGACGCCGAGAGGCCCGCTCCCCCTCGGAAAGGCGAGCAAACCCCAGCTGCATGGGCTCACTACCAGACAAACCATCCCCAGGAGGCGTCGGAGGAGAGGGAGGCACGGGTGGGACAGAAAACGTAGGCGCCAAACGGTTAGGAGGCGCCAAACGGTTGCCACTATGTGGCAAATGAGGTTTAATGTTGATAAATGTAAGGTTCTGCACTTGGGGGCTAAGAATATGCATGCATCATACATACTAGGGGGGTACAACTGGGGGAATCAATGGTGGAGAAGGATCTGGGAGTTCTGGTAGATCACAAGCTTAATATTGGCATGCAATGCCAAGCTGCGGTTTCTAAAGCGAGCAAAATCCTCTCTTGTATTAAAAGAGGTATAGACCCCAGAGAGAGATATCATATTACTCCTGTACAAATCATTAATAACACCTCATCTGGAATATGCAGTTTTGTTTTGGGCACCGATTCACAAAAAGAACATTGGGGAACTTGGGAGAGTACAGAGAAGGGCAACTAAACTGATAGGAGGCATGGAGGAGCTCAGCTATGAGGAAAGATTACAGGAACTGAATTTATTCTCTCTTGAGAAGAGGAGATTAAGGGGGGATATGATCAACATGTATAAATACATCAGAGATTCATATAGTGAACTCGGTGTAGAGCTTTTTACCCTGAGGTCATCACAGAGGACAAGGGGGCACTGTTTACATCTGGAGGAAAATAAATTTAATCTCTGAACACGGAAAGAGTTGGTTCTGGCCAGCTCAGTGGATTGCTTAAAAAAAGGCCTGGATCGTTTCTTAGATACACAGAATATAGCGGGATACTAACATTTATAGGTAAAGTTGATCCAGGGAATATCCGATTGCCTCTCGGAGGATCAGGAAGGACTTTTTTTTCCCAGCAGGAGTAAATTGGATCGTGCTTTGCTGTTTTTTTTTTTTTTTTTGCCTTCCTCTGGATCAACTGTGGGTATAGGATTAGGATTATAACTTTTTTATTTTTTTTTAATGGTTGAACTGGATGGACTTTTGTCTCTTTGCAGCTAAACTAACTATGTAACTTGCACACGATTTGTTGATGGAAATCCGCTCTGGGGAAAATTAGTGCAAATGCACTTGCAGAGTGCACAGTGTATTTGTCTTTAGTAAATCAATCCCTATATATTTCAGGTAAATGGTGCCTTAAAATGTGTCTATTCTCATTAGAAACACACGGGGGGATTTATCAAAACTGGAGCAGACAAATCGGGAGCAATTGTGCATGGCCACCAGTCAACATCTATCTTCAGCTTGTTCAGTTAAGCTGTGAAAATGAAAGATAGAAACTGATTGGTGGCCATGCACAACTCAATATTCTGGCTGTTTTCAGTTTTGATAAATTTCCCTCTGCTGTACTTTTCCCCTTCAGTTTGTTATGCCTTCAGCTTCCCACAAAGCTGTATCAAACAGAATGACTGAACAAAGCTTAGCACTCTTCAAAGTCTTCTGGTGATTTTTTTTTTTCTTTTGCTTAAAGCTTACCATAGTACAAATTGAGGTTTGAACTATAATGATATAATTTTAAGGATTTATGAGATGTCTTATTTCTCACATTACAAATGTCAGTCATTTTGATGCTGTATCGTTTAACAGGTTACAAATCTAAGCACACGATAATTCACTCATCACTTCTTTTCTCCTTTCTTATTTTTAACACAGCCTGGCAGTAAGATGGTGGCTTCTGCCAAGGCTGCAGTTCCCACAGTAGCTGATCAGGCAGCAGCCATGCAGTTGGGTCAGTGTGCGAAAAATCTTGCAACCAGCTTGGCTGAGCTACGTACAGCGGCACAGAAGGTAAGATATCTGGATGTGGCATAAATATCAACATGCCTTGCACTTGTCTTTTGTAGTCAAATCATATTATTATGTTTTACAGGCCCATGAAGCTTGTGGACCTATGGAAATTGATTCAGCCTTGAATGCTGTTCAGACTCTAAAGAATGAGCTGCAGGATGCTAAGATGGCAGCTACAGATGGCCAGTTGAAACCTCTTCCAGGAGAGACGGTAATGTTGAATTTTCCAAGAATCCGTAACATGAAAATAAGATATTAAAAGTCTAATGTGTAGACTAGCCAGTGATGCTCAATAAATGTAACCATACAATGTTTTTTTCAAATACACTATTAAACAAAAATGTATTGACTGCTGAAACCCTATCATTTGCCTGCTTATCAGACATCAGGGACCCACTGATAAACGCTATATCTTTATCATTTAGTACAGGACACTGGAATCCGGTTTTAGGCCATGGGTGTTTTATACCTTAACCTTCAAATGATTAAGTTCTCCTAAAAAGCTTTGCTGGATCCACCCCCTAGTTTTTCTAATGTAGCCACCTACTCTGTAAGCAGCTAGCTTTTTGCTAATTTTGCTAATTTCTATAGGTGATGGATACCTTCTCTTGGGTAAGAATGTCCTACTATTTGTTCACCAGATTCCTACTATTTTTAGCCTGTACCCAGTATCCTTATACATATTGGTTCATGGCTCCCATGTCTTGATGGCTTTTGCATCCTTATTCTAGAAGACATACCGCAGTGATACACACACAGGCAGTTCATAGGGCACAGGTGTGTGGAGACTTGCAATCTTGGTGTTTTTACCTAACTCTACTGTCTTACTATTCGATCTAAAGAATTAGAAGTTATAGCATTTAGCTATTCTAATTTGGCAGTCTTTTTCCACTTTTGAAGTAAAAATTTTTCCATTTAGTAACCCCGTGCTTTTAGTACTCCTATCTGCACACCTCTCGCTGGAATTCTACAAAGACACAGCCATTGGAATTCAGTGCCTGGTTTGTCTCCGTCATATTGGACACACTGAAGCTCTTTAATCCACGTCCGTTCTAGGAGTACCCACAGGGGAAGACAGTCACATAGTAATGGAAAATTACAGCCACTTTTTGACTCGGCTATCATTTTCAAGTGCTCTTCTGCCTCACCTCTACCTGACTATATTCCTGGCTTAAAACCAGAACCATCTGGCACACTTGCTGTGGCAAAAACCAAGGGGGGGGGGCAGACATTTTGGCAGAAGCAATTTAATATTTTTCACTGCTACAATTTATGGAAGTTACTTCCTTTACCCGCTTACCGTTTGTTGGCTACTGTGGATTCATTGTTCAAGGTGGTGGGTACTAGTCTTTGGGTAGTTAAGCGCTGCACAACCCCAATGTGTTCAATGATGCACTGAAAAAAGGGCCTTCTGTAGAAAGTCCCTTCTTACTCTGGGTCAGGAACCTGGGCCTTATGCAATGAGTGGCCAAACGGGAAGAGGTTATTTCCCTCTTCTGACAACTCTGAAGCCTTGTAACTTTGAACCCAATTTTTTTCTTTTTTAATTCAGATTTTCTTTATAAAAATGTTTCTTCCTTTTACAAACAAAATATAAAAACAAAATAATTACCCTCCTCACAGGGCAGAGCAAACAATCCAACAGCACAAAAAAAAAGGAGGAAGGAAAGCCCTGCATGGGGGAAGGAGTGCAACCACCATAATAGAGTGATTAACAAATAATCTTTATCAAAAATTAGGATACATACACTCTAGCCATTTATACCATATTGCTTCAAACCTCTACATAGAATATCTAAGATGGTATGTTTTTCAAAGAAAATATATTTAAGCTTTTTTATCCATTCAGAAAGAGAAGTGGGCGGAGGGGGAAGTCCACTTGAGTACAATTAGTCTGCAAACTATAAATAATGTGGATTCTGATCAGTTAAAGATAAATCCACTTGACCACGTAAACGGCTAAGAGGGTCAACCAACAACTTAACCCCAATAAGCCTGTTGAAGTGGAAGTAAACCAACTGAAAAAAATCCTAAACAATGGGCCCCCCTGCAGTGTTAGGTTATAATGTACTAGAATGCCCCTACCACTAGTACGTTATGACAGACTTACTTGTACATGGAGCCCTCCAGCATTGTGCTTTTATGACTCCCCGGCACCGCCATATTCACCCAGTCTTCCTTTTTGGTTTGTGGGCTCTGGCAGTGTAAATGGCTGGAGCCGCGATGACCTCATCCCGTGCATGCGCGCTGGATCCCTCGGCTGCAGGACGGAGCTTGAGTCAGTAACATTACCAGCTCCATCTGCTGTGTGAATATCTCCTAAACGGTGCAAGTTTAGGAGATATTCACTGTACTTACAAGTAAGCCTTAATATGTACAACTTAAAAAGTGGACTTTACTTCCACTTAATCCCTACCACCTCAGCCCAGTATCATCTTAATTTAGGACAACATGAATAAGGGACCCAGATTTGCGTCCACATCTAGCACATGAAAGGGTCATCTTTCAGACAATATTAAATAAAAATTCAGGAGTTCTATAAACTCTACGTAACCTAAATGCCTTCGTACGTCTATGAGAGGGAGATAAGGAAACTCCCAAGAGAATGTAGAATATCCTCCCAGCTATTAGGAATAATCATATGCTACCTATACCATATAAAATAATAAAAAATTGTGTAGTCAAAATAAAAATATCTCAAAAAGTGTCCATAAACAACAATACACCAAAAAGTCACTAATTAAGATCAGTGTATAAACATACAAGTGTCCTTCAAACATTAATTCACATAGTGGTATTTAAAAATCCTGGTGTTAAAGCCTTCCACGTGATTCCCACGATCAAAATAGAATCTCAAAAAAAAAAGAATTTTTTATTCTATTTTGAGGTTCTATTTTGATCATGGGAATCACGTGGAAGGCTTTAACACCAGGATTTTGACATACCACTATGTGACTTTTTTTTTTTTGAAGGACACTTGTATATGTTTATGCACTGATCTTAATTAGTAAATTTTTGGTGTATTGTTTATGGACACTTTTTGAGATTTTTATTTTGACTACACAATTGTTTATATTATTTTATATGGTATAGGTAGCATATGATTGTTTATAGATTTTTACACTTTTAGGGTAAAGGTGATATTTATGCTATTGGGTATACTTTAATTTTATTTAGGGAGTTACCCTAATTTTTCACATGTATCATTAGGAATAGAGCCTCCTACATCTCACTCCCATGGAGACCTACATAACAAAGGTAGTCTGAAAACAAATCGATTTAATAATCCATGGTAAGTATCCGAAATCAATCTTAGTTAATGACGCATTAACTAATAGTGTTAATGAGAGGCATGGAGGAAAAATTTAGGCTGAACTTAGGCTGAACTTAGGCTGAACTTGAATAGAGTGCTTAAGTTGGAAGAAATTGATAAAACCACTTAGGAGTAATCTCAAATTCTGCCACAAATTGGGCAAAGGATTTTAAAGTACCACTGTCATAGAGATGTTCCAAGGTACATATTCTGCTTTTTCCCATCTCTGGAATCCCTGGAGCTTACAAATTTCAGGAAAAAGGGAATTATCCCCAATATTTTTTTGTCGCATCCCATGTTGTGTACATTAAAAAAAAAAAAAGAGTAGGATATGATACCTGCAAAACCCTTTGAGCTGGCATCTCCAAAGTACATAAACATTGGCAACTTTTACTCCTAAGTGAGCATAGGCTGTAGGGAGGTTTAGAGGACATTTCAGAGTTCCACCCCACTAGATGTTGTAACAGGGCCGCTAAAAAAATAAATCCATGGATTAGGGACAGATAAATCTGCATCATTAAGATATTGTAAAAATTCTAATTTTATCCTTGGTGACTTCCTCCCTCACATCAGGTCCCTAAATATAGTATTGCCCCTTACAAAGATCCTTGGAGGTATTTATATAGGAGAATTATGGAGAAAATACAGCAATTGTGGCAACCAAAGCATTTTAAGCAAATTAATTCTAAGAGAGGTAACTTGCACCACACTTTACATTGCTTTTGAAATTTAAAAAATAAAGGGAGAATATTGTCTAAGATGTCATCTGGGAGAGTTAGACATATTCTCCCCCAAGTATTTAAGCAAAGGAACTACATTAGGGTGTGCTAAAGAGGGAGGTTAGTGGTTTCAGTTATGGATCTATAGGTAGCAACATAGATTTCTCCCAGTTAATGGCTCCGGTAACCTTCATAAGACATCTACTGGTTTTATCACCACTGGGAGAAAAATTTGAGATAAATAAGAGTGTCTGCGTACAAAGCGATTTTCACCTCCAGCAAGCCTCCCACTAGTCCTGATATTTCTGAAGAGTAATAAAGCAAACAGGCCAATGGCTGTATAGCCATGGCATAAAGAAGAGAGGACAAAGCGCACCCCTGTCTCTTGCCTCTATGTAGATTAAAAGAATGGGGACTGCAAGCCATTAACTCTAACACAGGCTCTTGGGACAGCATAGAGTAATTTCACCATTTACTGAAGGTAGTGCCAATCTGAAGTTTTTTCCAAGACAGCCCACAAATGGTCCCATTCTACCCTAGCAAATGCTTTTTGGCATCTAGCGCCAAAAAAAAAGCTCTATTAGACATCTTACTCAGCGGGATTTACATTTTTAAATAAGCATGCCTAATGTCCACTAGAGTGAACATATTGGGCATAAAACCCGCCTGGTCGGAGTGTATGACATAAGAAATTTTATTAAGTCTATTTGCAAGTACCTTTGCCATAATGTTGACATCGGAAGACAACAACATTGACCTGTATGAATCAGGAAGGAGAGTATCTATTGCTGCCCCATACATGGTCTCCGGAAGCTTCCCAGCATTAAACTCCTTATTCAGTGTTAGTATTAAATCGGATAGTAGTACCACTCAGTATTTGTTATAGATTTATATCAGGAGCCCCATCTGTCCCAGGGGCTTTACAATTAGGGAAGCTCATCACTGCCTCTTCCAATTCCTGCTGAGTGTTAGAGGCATTTAACAGTCTTTGATCATCTGTTGAAAATACCAGAAGGGGAATCTCATCAAGATAATTTTGAAGATTTTCATTTCTGTCAGTAACTCCGCTAGAGTATAGAGTTTGATAAAAGCTTTTGAAGACCTCAACATATCCTCTGTCTGGGTGTAGATGCTGCCAGTCTCATCTTTTAATACAGTAACATAGTGTATCTCTTCCTGAGATCTGGAAATCTGAATTAATAACTTTCCCGCCCCCTCATCCTCGGCCCAGATTAACAGATTTTAGAAAAATAGTTTGTGACGAGCCCTGTCCAACATAAAAGTGGACAAATGTGCTTGCTGGGATAGCCATTCTGCCTGATTTACAGAGGATGGATCACACACAAAACTGACCTTTGCTGTTGAAGTCTCTGCTTTTGCTTGTTCCTGCCTTTTCCTGAAAAAATATTTAATCGGAATTCTCCTAAGATAAGTCTTAAGGGTGTCCCGCACAGTATCATAAGAGGCTGAATCTATATTGTGAGTAATGAATATTGTAATGGCAGATGAGACATCATCCGATAGTGAAAAAAAGATCTAGCCAAAAAGGATTCAGGTGCCGTTGAGATAACTAGAGGAGAATGGTCAGAGATCCTTCTGGGCTCAATGGTAGCATCTAAAAATGCCATCACAAGCTCCACTTATCATAAAAACACATAATTTAACATAAAATGTTTCTTCCCCAGCCATGGACCTGGCCATTCTTGCACTGAATGCTGAAACTGCCTTATCTATTGAGGGTACCACCTCCTTTAAAAAAAAAATCCTCCTTTTGTCCTTGAAGGCTCTGCCTTACTGCTGGGAATTGTCAATTGTCACTGCTGTGGTCAAAGCTATGGCTACCTGCGCTGGAGGAATCCATGATAAACTTTCTCCCATTGTTGAGTCATAATCTTCTTTTTTTTTTTTTTTTTTTTTTCCCAAAGTTAGAACTCGGCCCTACAATGAAAAATCTGATCTGTCAGATCTCCAGAATGTCTTTACTCTCTGTGCATATGCACAAAATTCTATGGCTTAAAAAATGTTATGGCCTTCTTGTCAGCACTATTAAGTTGCCTCATTTTACTCATACGCAGAGTCTCTTTTGAGACAGCCAAGGGGTAATTTATTACTCTGTTTCCTGGTTGTTTATTCCCCCCTCTACTTGTGGAGATTAGTTTCACAACCTAGAGTCTTTGCTACTCCATTTTGCCATGGCATGTACTTCCTAGCTTCAGCCTCCAGGCCTTGTGCTGAGCCCTGATGCACCCTTCCCTAACCATTTCACAGTTGCAGATAGTCAGCTTGCACATTTTTGTACTAGGCTGCTTTTCATTCCCTAGGTTTGACCTTGGTGCCATGTAAATTCATTTCCAATTTAGTATTGGTAAAGATTGCCAGCCCAGGGTTCTTGAGGTGCTTCCCTTTCTTCTCCACCTGCAGTCAATAGGAGTTTTGGCACCTGCTTGCTTTGCTCAACCTTGCTTATTATCCTATGGGTGCTCAACAGCCTTGCTAGAGGAATTCCTGATATCCCTGTTTTCCAGATTTTCATATGGTAGCATTTTCCACCCCATGCGCTAAATACCCCTCTTCATTGTGGCAGGTTAATTGCCCCCTTCTCTGTAGTCTCTGGCAAAACACTTCCACCTAGCGGCCCGACAGGGATCTTATCTTGAGTTCTCTACTTGTCCTTCATTCTGTAGATCCTTCGGCTTGGCCCTGCATATGGCATTTCTATTAGGACCCTGCAGGTTCTGATAGACCCTTTACATTCCCTCTCTTTCCCCTGAGATCTGCATCTTCTGTGCAACTTTCTACTGATGATTGTTCCTCTTTGTCACCTGCTGGGACTGCTTGTAGCCATACCAAACCTTATCTTTCCAAACAAAGGGTTCACTTTCTAGGGACCTTTCTTGGGACCTTGCCCTCTTTTCCTCTTAATTTGTCAATGGAAGGCCCCCGGGGTTTCCTCCCTCTGCTACCACCCACCTGAGTGGGTATTTTGTCTTTTCTATGCGGCTTTTGCCCTCAGGGAATGAGTCACTCTTTCTCACCTGAGGTCAGATTCTGGGTCTATACAACACCTATACTCCTCCTTTGAGCGGAACCACCACCTGAATTCTGTTTTCTCTCAAAACCATTGGTTATTAGTTGACTGTTTAGTCTCTACTGTCGCTTGCTCCAGCAACGGGTCTGTTGATGCTTCTTGTTTTTTCCTGTTGGCTTATTGCTTCTGTTCAGCTGTATTGTTGCCCACCCCTCGGATAATGCTTAGGGGCATACCATGGTCTATGAATCTATGAATATGTCCTGTACTAACCATCAGAGGAATTTTGATATACATGTAAACTCCATATCCTGGAGTACAATACATGACACAGGCCACTCTCCTCTATTTTATGATCAATTAATTGTTTGCTAACACAGCTGGAGCCTCACGAAAGTGGTGGGGTTATTTGAGGAAACTTGGGGATTTGTTCAGTCACCTGAAGGTAGCAACATATAAGCCATAGTCTGAGTCAATTTGTGTCCTGTACTAAATGCCAAGATACATAATTTACAGATACATGACAATTTCTCTAATTTAGTGTCTGAAAAAAGAAAAACAAATTTTATAATGCTACTACATAGCCTGACACATGGCATCAGATCAGACATGAAAGTGTCCAAATTAAAAATTACATCATGCCCCTAAACCTGGCTGTTAATACAATAGATAATTTCGATATTTTTACTCTGTTGATAATTATCTTGATCTATCCTTACCTATAGTGCACACATAATTGTCTGCATATGTAAGTATGTAGGGAAACTAGCTGTCGTATTATGCTAATTTTGAACCTTTTTGGATAAGCTGGCAATGACTTTTGTCCCATAATAAATGTAATTCATTTCTCCATAGCTATATCTTGTAATTTGTTTTATGTGTACTAGAAATGTGTCAAACTAAAAATGTATAATCTTTGTTGTTCTAACAACAAAGTGTCCATCCCATGTACAAGTTTTTTGTGTTGCAAAGTATGAATCATACTCTATTTCAGCTGCATAAACTAGTTGGATGACACATGAATGTTCACATGCACATTTAATTTAAGGTAGTTGTAAATACTTACATATACCCAGTGAGGTGAATGACCTCAGGTGGTACACAGAATTTAAACAAATCCTCATACCTAAGCTGTACCTGTTTATCTGCAGTCTTCTCTATAACCGTTCAAAGTACCTAATTTATACAGCTTATTTGAGCTTCCAGAAAGCAGGGACTGAGAAGCTGAATTTATACTCTGTAAAGCTCAGTGAGTGCTGATTGGAGGGATAGGACAAGTGTTCATAGATTTATGCATGCATTGTAGGGGTATATGGAGGAGCTCTGATTTTTGCTTTGAGGTCCATATTGTGTGTGTTGGGCCTCCTAAAGACTCTGGAGCGTTAATAAGTGTATGTAAGGACAAAACATTGAGAAAGTCACTGACAGGTTCATTGCAACTAGCCAAAATGTTGATTGTGAGCTAAATTATGTTTAAAGGGAATAAACATGGTCCTTTTTGTTCCATGTTATTCCATTAAAGAGGACCCGCATTGTGGAAGATCTGCCCAAAAGGGGCAAGCTAACTGACTAGTCACCATTATTGCCTGTAGGCTCCTTGAAACCGATCTTTCCCCATTACTCACTCACCATGTCGTGTTCCACACCATGCCTTTGTGTGGAGGTTGTCATCTAGGTAGATGAAAGGGCTTTATTTCCTCATGTCAGATCTGTCCTCCTGATGACAGGTGAAGAAATAGTCAAGCAGCAGCCAACAGCACATATCCACAGATTGGATAAAGTAGAAGCAGAGAGATTATTGCACTGCAGATCTTTAGGTTCAGTAAGGATAACTGTGAACCAGCACACTTTTGATATCATCATATGCCGTGAAACTAGCAATCGGGCACAGATGATTTCACACTGCAGATACAGGTAATGAAGCTTAGGCTGATTTCGCTCTGTTGCTTTGCATTGACGCTTTTGAATTAAGGCAGTTGATTTTGAATTGATTGCCTATTACACCGAGAAAGGTGCATGTGCTATTTTTTCGTAATGCAGCACACCATAACATACAGTAGTGCCTTACTGTTTTAGTGCGGTGCAACACGTGGGTTCGCAAGGTATGCTGGGGTCCAATTAGGAATGATTGCCAAAGAAAGTGCACTGATATTTTGCAGGAGTAATTCAAGACAAAATGTAACTTACTCCTTGGGCACAATTACCTTTTTTTAGGTGTTCCCTATAAAATACGTTCAGGTGCACTTTTTCAGAGTTTCTAATGTTTATTTCTGTGGATCTGCAGTTAGAGAAGTGTGCCCAGGACCTTGGCAGCACCTCGAAGACTGTTGGTTCCTCCATGGCTCAGTTACTGACGTGTGCCGCTCAAGGGAATGAACATTACACAGGTATAGTAAAACAAACTGTGTTGTGCTGCCTCAATGTGTTAAAAAAAAAAAAACTACTATCCCTTTTAGATCAAATTACCATGCCCTAAATAGTGCTCACAAAAATACAATATTTCTTATGTTGTGTGAATCAAATATTTAAAAATGAGAACAGTAAATCCAACAGATGTAAATATACTCCCATGGGTGAATAATCACACAAAAGAATGTCTCATAGATATTCAAGCATGTAAGTCTTCTGTGTTGTAATAGTAAATCCAGTGTGCCTCCACCAAAAAAGTAATATGGCCGCTTACCGGACCCCCAGAACCCAATACCATGGAGGTCTAAGCAAGCTCTGCATTCCCCAGCCATCTCCAGGTGGACAAATGCAACCTTCTATGTGCTTAAAATGTTTTCAGACAATTGTTTCCACCATCAGCAGAATCGGCAGCACCCAGTAAAGAAAACACTAGAAAACCTCCATAGGGTAGAAAACTTTGTGCCTCCTTTATTTTAAAGGCAGGGTAAAGCTACTCACAAGAAAGTGTAGGTATACAGGTTTCAAACAAACCATCACTCCGGCTAATGTGATTGTGGTCATGGGGCCACTCTGTGCAAAACATTTGCACAGAGCAGATAAGTAAAACTTTTTTTTTTTTAAAGCTTTAATATCACTTTAATATATTGCACAGGGAGCATAGACAGAAAACAAAGTTCTTGTATTTACTGACAAAATACAGTTTCCATGTGAATTAGATCTGCTATGTACAGTATGTATAACCGCTCTCAACAAGTACATGCCAATCCAAGGCTTTACCATTAGAGTCAAACTAAGGCTACTTATTTACACATCTTAAAAATCTACATAGTATTGAAATAGTATGATATCTTTGTAAAAGCAAGGAGAGAGTTTTCAGTGATAATTGCAGTTCTCTATACATTGATATGTTCGTCATATTATTCATACGTTTATCAAGGCTCTAATTTGTTTTTGTTTTTCTTAATATTCCTACTTAAGTAAGGACTGCTACGTTAAATGCAATATAAACTAGAACCTGCTTTAATAATTTCAGTCCCTTTAAAATAGATGAGCAAGTATAGTGGGCACCACATTGGAACTAAATTATCCTGAAAAACCTAGAAGACAACAGTCATTACTGCACACTACTTGATCCCTTTACATGCTTTAAAGTGAATCTAAACCCTAGGACCAAAATTGATAATGTTGCAGCTTACCTGTTCTTACATGTGTTTGCTGCTTTAGTTTTTTTTTTTTCACACTTTTTCCCTTATTTTAACCTGCCGTTCCTGTCATTAACTCACTTTCTGTCCTCAGGTGACAGCTGTATTGAGCAGCATTGTCACCCTAGGACTTGGAGTGTTAGGACTACACACCACCTCTGTTTGTCCTCCATAACGGAGATACCAGGGAACAGTGCTAAGTGGTATCTACCTGTTCTGCTTCTGAACTGATTTAATAGCACAGGATTTCTGGTTTGAATGATTGGCTATTTTTTTTTTACTTTTTGAGCAGATATAATAAAATTATTTCAATAATATCTTTACCAAACCAAATAAAAAAATAACATTTGTTATTGTTAGATAAGTTTGCTGTGGCTTAATTTATGATTGAGGTTGTGTGGTTACTTGTACGTCCGCACTGGAGGTTTGGACTATTTCAGCATTCATCCTCTGTAATATTTTATCCTTAGCTCTTTGATTATATTTCTTATACCATATAGCTCTGGATTGTAAGTGGTTACTAGAGGTACACTGTTTTTTTTTTTTTTTTTTTTTTTGTGTAGCCAAGTGCTGGCTATTCAAACTGCAGTTCAGGGACACTTACAGATGGGATAATGATTAAGCCCTTTTCCCCTAGTGCCCAGTACTGGGACAGCTACTTCACTTTCTGTTACGAGTAAAGCCATTTTCTCAAAACGTCTTCCAGGAAAGCCCCCTTGAGATGTAGAACTCCTCCCTCCGGGACAGGAAACACGAAAGCACTGCATTTCAAAAGGCGGACCTCCAGGCCTCCCTTTTCAGTTTTAGTGTCTCCTGCCAGAAGGTTAGGTAAACCTGTATGGAGCTCAAGGCTGGTGTTGTTGACTCCTGTTTTTTACAGTACCTCCTCTTCCCCAGCGTGATCCCTCCATGATAGAGCGGAGTGGGGGGCTGCGCTACGAATGTCCTTCAGTCCTCAGAGGAGGAGACTACCGACGATGGGTTGCCCTGGATAGCGACTCCTGGGGAAGCTTCAGGCTTTTGCGGCCCTCCCCTGGCACGGGCGGCAGTACAGTGTGTGCAGAGAGACCACCGGGCAGGTGACTGGACAGCCGTGACTTCCGGGGGTGGAGCAGTTGCACTCCAAACACCGGAAGTCCGGCGCAGTGACATCATCGGCGAGCGCCGGGAGATGCGTGATTCCGGTTTCCATTAACAGTGCAGGCATCCGGCGGGCGGTCTGTGCGGCTTGGAAGCCCAGCAGAAGCTGTGGATACCACGCCACAAGGATTCAACATGATGGAAGGCGCTGACACCTCTCAGCGGACGGACCCTGGTTCCTCAGACACAGGCTCCCTTCAGGTAGGCTTGGGGACTTGGGGTCCCTTTCGCTGACTCCTGGAGGTAGTTTTCTTTTCTCCAGTCTCTGAGTGCAGGTGACGGCGGGGCACACTTCCCTTTCCCCCAGCACAGTAGGCTTGGTTGGGGAGCCTGGGGCTGATTGTCCTCTGTATTGCTTTTTTGTGTAGGTTAAAGCCCAGGTCAAGAGACAAGTCAGGCCCCTAAGAAGAAGTGTGCAGTTTGCGCAGCAAAATTGGGCTCAACTTGGGAAAAGCCCTTATGCTGCAATTGTGTGGATAGCCTGGTTAAGGATTAGTCATTTACAGCCTGCCATAGGGTTCTCACCTCCATTAAAGATGACATGACAGCTACATTCCAATCTTTTAGATCTCTGCTAGATAAAAAGCAGACACCACTGGGGCCTTGGACCCAGTCGGCTGGTATGGTAGTATCGAGAAGGGAGGTGGACCCGGAAGTGGACCCTGGGGCCCTTGCTTCCTCATGGCATGTTCGGGCTCAGAGGAGGAAGACGGTGAAGCTTGCACCTCCAGAGGTTCCAGGTACAGATTGGCCCTTGATGATGTGGACGACTTCCTTAAGGCTATCTATGAAACCTTAGAGATTGAGGAGGACGTATGTCTTTCTAAGCATGACCTCATGTATCAGGGTCTACATACAAAAAAGACTAGGGTTTTTCCTGTCCATAGTTCCCTGGTTGATACCATTAAGCTGGAGTGGGAAAACCCCAAAAGGAAGCCCTTTTTTCAGGTAATCTAAAAAGATTTCCTTTTGAAGATGACTAATCCCAGCCATGGAACAAACTTCCAAAGTTGGACGCCCCCTTATCCAAAGTTTCTAAGAGGATGGAGTTGGCATTTGAAGATATGGGAGCCCTAAAGGATACTATGGATAAAAGAGGGGAAATTTTGCTCCGCAGGGCCTGGGTTTCTACCTCTGTTGCCAGAAATTTTGAATGCTGGCTTACCCAGTTACAGACACCTCACGGAAGGGACCTCTAGGCTGAAGAGGGTGTGGATTTCTCTGCTGTGGAGCCAGGCGGGCATTATGGTTAAAAACCTGGGCAGGGGACTCCGTGTCCAAACTGCGCCTTTGTGTATAGCCTTTTACAGGTGATAACCTTTTCGGTCCAGGTATCGAGGAGGCCCTAGAGCATACGGCCAATAAAAAGAGGGCATTTCCGGAGAGTAACAAGAAATCTTACTCCATGAGGGCTTTTTGTCAAAAACCGCAAGTCCAGCAGATCAAAGATGTTCAGCCCAAGAAACATTGGATGGGGCACAAGAACAAGAGTAAGTGGGGGATCTTATTCAGTCTTCTTCAGGGCCCTGCCAAGTCTGTGACTTGAGCGTCCCAGTGGGAGGAAGACTCGGGACATGTCAGAAATACCTAAGAATAGCAGTAAGGATGGGTTCAGAGATCCACCACTGGCAGTGTCGGGCTCTACCGTTTGGTCTGGCCTCAGCACCAAGAATTTTTACGAAGGTGCTTGCAGAGGCCTTAGCTCGCCTAAGAATGAGGTCTATTATGGTCGTTTCCTATCTGGATGATCTCCTCTTCGTGGCCAGGTCTCACCAACAGTTGACAGAAGATCTATACGTTGCTCAGGACTTCAGAGTTTAGGGTGGCTCATAAACATGGACAAGTCCCTCCTAGAAAGTTACCTATCTGGGGTATGAGATTTCCTCAGTAGAGAGAGAGATCTTCTTTACACAAGAAAAGTTTCTCAGGATAGATCAGGTGCTGGCGGAGTTGCAGAGCAATTTGTCCACGACAGTAAGGGATGTTATGAGGGCAGTGGGTCTCTTGACCTCTTGTTTCCCAGCTGTCCCCTGGAGATTCCACCAGCAGCCACTGCAGGCTTTCCTTCTGGGGTTTGGAATGGGGACAGATCTACTTTGGATCTGGCAGTCCAGATCCTGGCCAGGGTCAAGAGATCTCTTTTGGTGGTGGCGCAAACAAGTCAATCTAGCCAAAGGTCTAGAGTGGAACACCTTGTCTGGTTATCATTATGATTGATGCCAGTAGCTCTGGTTGGGGAGCCCATCTAGGCGGCAGATCAGCACAGGAGTCGTGGTACGTGGAGGAAGCTCAGAGATCCTCAAATCAGAGAGAGCTTCTAGTAGTCCTGTGAGCGTTGGATGCCTTCCAGGCAGATCTGTTAGATCATCACTGCATATCCGTTCGGACAATATGGCTATGGTGGCATACATCAATAAATGGAGGCACATGAAGCCCTCCTCTTCAAGCAATTGTGGATGGTATTTTATTTTGTAAAAGATGTAGTGAGCGCTTCTTGTATAACGGTAAAGATAAGCGGCTAAAAGCACCAAAAGGAGATCACAACAGCCTCAAGTAAAAGTAGATAAATATAGTGCAGCGCTAAAAATAACAAGCAGAAAATTAAATCTAGAAAATTCTGATCTAGGAAGTTCGAT